TCAAGTCCGCATCTTGTACAGCAATTAACCACTGGGAGGAATGTATGCAATGTGTTAAGCATTGAAACTGTCCTACCAATTTAATTTGAAACTGTCTCATTGCTATGTGTTCATCAATAAAATTATGGGGAAAAAAAAGAAAATACAGAAAAACACTTTGAAAGATAATAAATGATCAAAATAAGAAATTAAAAAAAAAAAAAGTCCTACCGCCCCATGTCTGGATCCAGGGGGGAACAGGTTGGTGTAGTGAGTTCCAAAGGTCATAGGTGACTCTATCCTTATGGCCTTAGTAGTTACAGCCCACATGGCATCTGTTTTGGACTGGGCTGCACTCAGTCTACAGCTTTTCTTAGCGAGTCAGAGCAGCGTGGGAATCCCAGAACCAAGGGTGAGGAGCCACTCCTACACTGCCTTCCCTTCCGTCTCCCTGGGTTAGCCAGCAACTTCCGTTTATTTTCACACACACCAACCCTCTCCCAATGAGCGCCTGTTGAGTCACTGTAAATTCCCTTGCTAGCCCACTCCCACAGAAGCTCCAACCTCTCTCTCCACCTGAGAGTCTCTGGCTTCTCTTTTGGCCACCCTCCCGCACCAGGCAATGAAGGATTTCTTTGTCTTCCCCCGCTTCTCTTTGGCGCTGAGGAAGGCCCCTTACACAGTTCACATTCCTGGTATCTCCCGGATCCCCCCACTGCACATTCAGCTTCAGTCCTTGAGCTTTGCACACTGTCCTCTCAGTGCCTCCCTGCAAGCGTCCCAGATCTTCCTTTGAACTCTGGGTAGAATCCTCCCTAACTCTATAACCCTTGAATTCTGCATGCCAAGAGAACTAGTATTACAGGTGCAACACCATCTGCTGCCAGCTTGAGCAGTTGCCAGGTGCTCCTGGACCCCGGCTCTAGTGGCCTCTGCGTGTTGGGATGGCAGAGCGTGGTGAAATGAGTCCCAGGACTCCAGTTCTGTGTGAGGCTTGGGGACCTGCCCAGTAGCTCAGTTGTTTAAGTGCCTGCTTAAACAAAGACCACAAGCTCAAGCTTCTGGGGTTCCAAGCCAGACAGTCACTGCAAACCAGAAATGCCCTAAAGGCATTTCGAGCCCCCCCCCCAAAAAAAACCCCTGTGTGAGGCTATGTGTGAGCAGGGGTCCAGAATCCTCTCCTTACATAAAAACTTGACATTTCTGCATCCTTGAGCCTCTAATGATGCTGTTTGTTCCTGTACAAAGTACTTAGCTTCTTTTTAATGGCACCAGTCTCTACAGAGCCACATCTCCTTTAGCCCCAACTTTATACTTGGTCCCCTCTTAGCTACAAATTAAGTTTATCGGATTTTTCTCCTTCCTCCCCGAATCTCACTATA